TTATTTCATTGATTATATTGGATAATTTATTAAAATAATATCAATTATGATGATGAGACCTAATTTTCACTTCGATGCCAACAATTCACATAACTAATTTATTATATTAGATGAAACATTTTTTTATTAATTTAATAATAATTAAAACAAGAATTCTTTCTGCTAAATAAAATCATTTATATATATATATATTTTACTTAAAAAATCATAACGATTTATACAATATAATTTAATTATCTAAAAAGCTAAAATTATTTATTACAAATTTTATTTTTATAATATTTATCGTGACACAAATGTTAACTTATATTCCAGTTAGTTAATCAAAGATTTTATTTTTTTTAGTAGTTAAATTAATATTTGTTAAAGAAAAAAAAAACTTACTTTCTTAAATTAAAATTGATAGTTTAATAAAATAAGAAGTAACTATGCGAATAGAATTGGATTTTTCCAATAGAGTTTGATGGTACGAAAATATCTAGCTATCTTTGAGAATTTTATTTTAAATAATTTTTGTACTTTTAACGAATAAAAAAAGAATAAAATTAAATATTGTTATTAAATTAATCATCGTCATCATCACTTTTATTATCATTATTATATTTATTTTTTTCATCCTTACATCCATCAATATTTATTTATTATTTATTCATTTCGTTTTTATCACTAGAATTTAATTAAGTAAAATATATAAATATATATACCTTCAACTTCACTATATTTCCGCTACGCTATTTAGTCCGTTCATCTCAATCGAAACTGCATATGCCAATGAAATTTTAGATAATAATTTTGATAACGAAAATAATTATTTGTAATATAGCTTGATACGATTTTATATTATTTAATTATTTTATAATTTAAAACTTTTAAATTTTAATTAAAAATAGTTGATTAATTTTCGAATATACATTTGCTTTCATCAATATAATTGTTAAGTAATTTATTTATTAAGAATTAATTTAATTAAATTAAACAAGAAAAAATATTAAAAGGATATGAAAATGAAATAAATAATAGCTAGAATTATTAAATAATTTAATTATAATAAGTGATGTAATTATACATTTAATATTTTATTGCTTGAAATAAAAAATCTTATCTAAAATTAATTTTAAAATCTGTTCGAAAATTCTTTAATATTTTTTTTTTAAATGACAATTATAAAAATAAGAATAATATTTCTAAATAAAAAAAGAATGATGTTTCAGAGGAATTTATGAAACCATCATTAACATTATTGAAAATGCTTTTGGTGAAAATTATTTCATCATCATTAACATCATTAATTCATCTGAAATATTATCATTATCTTATAAAATTATCCAATCTATTAAATTAGAAGAAAGATTAGTAATTATTTCAATTAAAAGTATAATAGGAAATATACTAACCTTTTGGAAATTTTGGTTGCCAACAAAGTGATTATAGTAGAATAATAGTAGTAGGATAGTAGTAGGATAGTAGTAGTAGTTAGTAGTATTTTCAAAGTACAATTGATGTTAGTAGCAACAAAAATAATTAAGCAACAATTAATAATTAAAAAGCCAAAAATTGATTTAAAAATATAAATTCCAAAAAATAATAACGAAAAATAATTATTGGGAATTGCTGCATTGCAGCACCAAGTCCCTTTGATCCCTCGTAATAATATCATCTTCTTGTCGCATTCGATTATAGATTCCCATAAGTTTTCGATTCAATTTCTGGCGTTTCTGGGAGATTTCGTGATTAGGAACCTGTTGTTGCTTTCTTCCACTTCTTCTTGGGTTTGAGATAGTGTACTGGGGAATGTTGTTTTTTCTTTTTCTTTTGACCGGACCTACACTGGAAGCACAGGGGACATTGGGAGCAATGGGAGCACTTGGAGCGGGAACATTTGAAGCACTTGGAGCACTTTGAGTGGGAGCACTTGGAGCACTTGGAGCCAGAGCACTTAAAGCGGGAGCACTTGGAGTGGGAGCACTTGGAGCAATTGGACCACTTGGAGCGGAAGCACTTGGAGTAGAAGAACTGGGAGCAGTGGGAGTACAGGAAGCGGGAGCACTGGAGGCACTGGAAACACTGGAAGCATTATTAGTATTATTAGTATTATTAATATTAGAAGTTGATACCCCAGTCTATGGAGTAAAGTTCATGCTTCTCATTCCAACAGCCATGTTGTTGTTCTTGCAAAAATCTTCCCAATTAATCTTCTTTGGATGGCGGCATTCATAATAAGGATAGTTGGAGTCTTGAAGAAGCTTAGGATCGATTGGATTGTTGCAATGATAAGACATTTTTTTTAATAAAGTTTTTTTATAAAATCAAATACACTAAATTTTAGAAATTTTTAAAATGAATCCTAATATTTATTTCTATGCTATATGAATAAACAAAAAATAAGAATTGTTTACATGCAATCAAGATCAAAATAAATAAAAAACAAAAATTGTTTACATGCAGAGTTTTTTACATGTGATCAAAAATAAGAATTATTTGCATGCATTTAAAAATAAAAAATAAGAATTGTTTACGTGCAATCAAAAATAAGATTGTTTGCATCAATTAAAAAAAAATACAAACTGATCAAAATAAAAATAAGAAATCAAAAAAAAAATCAACTATTTAAATATTTATGCATTTGTTTATTAATTTGAATATAAAAAAAATATGAAATATATCATCAAGAGCTTTAAAAATAACAAATAGTACAGTAAATTTTCATAGTCAACAATAATGAAAAAATAAAATAAATATTTCATATACTCTATTTTGTCCATTTCATTTGTTTTTCATTTAAATTTATTTATTTTATTTTCTTCATTAATTTAAATATTAAATATATTGATCTAAAATCTTAATTTAAAATACAAATACAAATATATTTAATTTTATATACATACATATAGATTTTTTAATGATTAAGTCTAAGTGAAACGAACATTTATAAAATTTATAAAATAAAATTAATTAATATAATTATCAATATTTAGTATCAGTAATTAAATGATTAATATAGTTTATTCCATTGAAAAAAAAGTAAAAACAAGAATGAAAAAAGATTGGATTGCATTAATATAAGTATTTTTATTATTAAAGAAAATTTATATTTTTTATATATATTTACATATATTTAAAATTGGAATAAATTTTAATAGTGCATAAGAAATTATATTTAATGATAAAACAATTATAATATTCATAAACTTTACTGTAATCTAACTCGAATCATAAAATCTATCTACGATACTGATTCTGCGGGATAGTATTTTGGTTCTGTTGCTGATGAAATAATTTCAAATTATGAAAAAGGATTGCTTTTATCCAAAAGATTAAATAAAAATGCGAGTGAATAATTAACATAATAATTTATCACTATGACGAAAAGCAGATCGGTAATGATAAAGTGAGTAGCTAACATAAAAATTCATCACTATGAAGAAATAGCAGATCATTAAGGTACCTAAATAGTGATATCGTGATGATAAATAGCTAATCTATAAACTGAGACAAAATTCTTATTTCAAGTTACAGTATGGTGATCAAGTTGAAATTAGCGAAGATAAAATTGTATCTTTTTCATAAAAGAGGACAAGGAAAAAAATATTGAGCAAAAAGTTGAAAATGAATGAAAAAGAAGCAAAGAAAAGTTGATGATTTATATGAAAAATTTAGAGAAATATCTATTCTAAATTAACATGCATATAAAGAATTAAAATTTTATTAAAGTTATTAATTTTCATTAATTTAATTTAGCTATAGATTTAATTGATTTTTAAATAATTAATAAAATATAAATGTTTCTTCTGGAGAAATCATAATAATTAGAATTCAAATTTAAATTATCAAATAACTTTCGTCTGAATGGAATAAAATATTGATCAACAAAAAAAAAATACAATGTAACCACTAGAAATCCTTTCATGATCTTTAAGATATGACAAGCTATAAATATGTTTCAAATACTGCTCACATGATAGTTACTTCTATTCGAATCCTTCTAAAGTGAAAAAAACAGAAAACGGAAAAAAGACGTTTAAAATGAAAATCCCATTCACTTATTTTTATGGAAATATTGGATATAACTAGGTAATCAGGATCTGATGCATGCCCGGAGCAATATGTAATACAAAAATATTTATTAAATATTTAATAATAAATTATATTTATTTAAGGGATTAAAGTGTCACATGATATTAACATATGATTTTATTGGTTAAATGATTAAGTGTCACATCACATGAGACCACAATTTGTAAATTTATTGGTTAATAAAGTGTCAACTCATCAAATGAGTGGAAACAAAATTTCCCACGCTTTTATCACTTTACCTCTCCATATATCGTCCTCCACTATGTTCTTGACAATAATTCATCGAACAAAGCCAGAAAAAATACAATCAATATGTTATTTTAAAAACTTACCACAAGATTTAAATATTTTCAAAAATAAAGATCTTTAGAATCTAATTAAAAATATAATAATGAATTTAATTAAATGTTTAATTTATTTTGCGAAATATAAATATTTAATTACATAAATTTATGGTTCTAATAACAATAATTCTTCTAACCTGCTAAAATTGAATAAAAGGTTTCACTACATTACCATAATAAATGTTTAAATAAACAATCAACAATTGAATGAATGAATTATATTATCAATTACACCGTTTCCACTTACCAATTTATCAAAGAATATTCTTCAATTTTTGGTATAGGCATATGTGCATATGTTTCTTTTGTAATTTTTATAGAATTATCAATTAATTGAATATTTCATGACTGCCTATGCTTTCAATCGCATACAATAATGAGAATCGTTGTCACAAATAAATAATCTTTTTTACTAAAATATCGTTGCATGATATTCTTAGCTTATTCATCGAGGGTGATTGTGAAGATGATGATTTCATTTATCTTGAAGAAATGTTAAAAAGTAAGATAACATTTTCTTTTAAATATTCTTTTTTTATCCAGTCTTTATAGGAGCAACTTCAGTAATTGGTAATGAAAAATCGAAGACAAGATGAGAAATGCATATTAGATCATGGTGAATATGGTTTCGCCTAATTTTTGTATGGTTCTTACTACTACTCCTTTTGCACCCGCCAGTAGGGAGCATATTAAATAAGTTAAGAATTTAATCTAGATATTAATGTAGTACACTCACCAATCCTCAAACTTAATCTAAGCTTCAAATTCCTCCGAAACAATAAATGAATGATATCTGTGATCATATTATTTATTTACCTCTTTCATTTACTTTTTCTCAATAATTCTTTGTGATTTTCTACTTTTATTGATAATCCATCATGCTGCAGAAATAAAATTATAATTTTCAAACTAAAAACGACAAGATATGAAAAAACTTGACAATAAAATAAAAAAACATGTTTTTTCAAAAATTAATTTATTTACAAATGGCTAAAGAAATATATAAGAAATAAAAATTTTTAAAGAAAATATAAAATTTTTTAAAGAAAATATTAATTGAGCATAATGATTGATTATAGCAATAAGATCTTATTTAATTGCTCTAACTAATTATTCACGATTTGATTCTTATTATAGCTAATATCTTATTCTAGTTTTTCATAGTTATTATATATCAACAATAGAAAAATCTTAATTTAGACTAGTCCGCTAGAACAACCTATATTGAAATCCAGCCGGGGATTCAATGACTTTTGAATCAATGGTTTGTTCATAATTAAAGCCTGGTTTCGGTAGAGTTAGTTGAAAGGTAGTCATATTTCCAATTCTTTCAGCAAACAAGTATTCAAGTCTATCAGAAAGATGATACTTTTTTATGCAATTAAGCCAAAATGAATATTCTTCTCCAGTAATATGCATTTTGAAATTCAAAGATTTCAAAAATGAAATCTCCAAAGTATCAATATCAGCTTGAGAGATATAGGATATTTCTGACCAGATCTTGCTTGCATATCTCTTATCGTTGAGCCATTTATTCGACAACATAAGTGCAATGGTGAAGAGCTGATATTCATTGGTAAAATTGGTATTATTTCCTTTTTTGATGTACATTTGTACATATTTTAATGCCAAGAAGACAGTTGTTTTGGATATTGGAGATTTTGATATTATCTAAATTATAAAGAGAGTATTAGTTAATATTTACTTACTAGTTTATAATAAACATACATTAAAGTATAAAAAAAGAACATTTCTAAAATTCATCACAGGTGATTGTCACCAATAGGCAAAATTTCATAGATCCTTGATCGATCCTAACCCTAACTTTGCTAGTGTTGACAATCACCTGCCGTGATTTCATAAATACCTCAGTACAAAATTTCTTAAAATGTGGTTCTGCAGATCTATAGCTGCCGCATTTTTTCAAATTCCACATCTTAAAGACAATGTTGGCTGAAAGCTCGCCTAAAACTTGTGTTATTGATTTATTATTAGAATTTAGGTTTTGCATTATGATAGTAAATGTGTTGTAAAAGTTTTAGGAGGGAAAAGATATAGTCAATTTAAATGGATAGCAAAGACAAAAGTGGTATTAATTAAACTAAAAATTTTTATGGTTTCTTCAATCGAAGGTAAGAAGAGTTTTTTAAAAAAAATTAAAAAATTTTGGAAATTATTGGCATTAAGTAAATAAATAGTGCCAGTATCGGCAATACAAAAAATTTGTTAATATACCTGTAATACAGATTTTATGATTTATGTATGTTCGATCATGTATTTGTACTATATATATGTTATAATATTATAGACATCGATCAATAAATATGATTACCAGTTATTGTATCTGTATTTATCATCACATGCATTCTCACAAATATTTATCTTCCATAAAATGCAATGCATAAAGATCACGTAACACTTAAAAAAATAAGAACTTGTTTATCACGCACTGCACTGCATATCAAAAAATAAACAAAAGAATAAGAAGTTGTTTACATGCATAAATTGAGACAAATATAAAGACACACTTATTTACTTGGATCTTGAAATTTAATTTCTCAACTCCTGCGCACTTTTTTTATTTTAACCTTCTAAGAAACTTTGTTTAAGGTACTTTAAACATAAGTATTTTTATTATCTATCTTTGATTCATATTTGACTGTTCAAGTTCTTTTTATTGATATTCAAAAGAATGTTGTTCTCGATAACCTTAACTGCTCTTGTCAGTGCCGTAGTCATCTCGACTTCTGTGATCTTATTAATATCCAAAAAATGCTTGTATGTATCATTAGAAAATTAATGTATATTAAAATGAAAAAGAGTTACTAACTTATTTTTTTTTTGTAGCGAGACTGAAGAACAGGAAAATCGACAAACAAATGAAAATTCGGATCAATATTTAGAAGAAACAAATGAAGCAAATAATCAGCAAAGTAAATATCAAATTTCGTGTATTGATTATTTAAAAATATAGACAAACCTAATTTTTTTTGATTTTTAGATGATTCACACTCACAAAATCAAATAATTCGACAAAATAAAAAATTTGTAAGTTCACCATTTATAATCAAAGAAAAACAACAAAAACGGAATTCGGTGATAGCAAAACAACATACTAAATTAGAGAGCATTACCGAAGAAACGGATGATGAAATAAATAATGAAGGAACAAATGATGAATCATTATTGACTCATGATGGGAATGCTGCTCGTCGTAAGTATAAAATTTCATGCATTAATTATTTAAAATCATATAAATCTAATAATATATTTTTTATTGATTTCTAGGATCTATAAATTCCATGTTGGTATCCAGAAGAAAGCAACAAAAGCTAATTAAGATCTCAAAACGATATAGCAGCATGGAAAGTATTATGGAAGAAACAGATGAAGAATAATACTTATCCATTATTTTCTTTTAATTCATTATATCGTTTTACTTTAATAATTTTTAATAATTTTTTAATTTGTTATATTTGAATAAAAATACCATTTTATAAATGCAAATTTTAGTAGCTTTATTAAATAATGAAAATCTATCTTCAAAATGATTATATTTAATACATGATAATTTATTTAATAAATTGATTCACACTTTAATAATATTAATTAATAATAATTATTAAAACATATTAAATTAAATTAATCAGCGAAATTAATTAAGAATGTGGATTTTAAGTAATTTTATTTCAAAAAATTAAATATTATTAATTTTACATTTATTAATATGAACCTTGCTGAAGGGTGCAAAATGAGTAATAAGAAACCATGGGAAGGGCAAAACGAAGGTATAAATTTCATTTTTTTAATTCAAAGAATGTAGATGTGAGTCATAATTTATTCATGCTCTTAGCGAACATTGTTAATGAACATGAATTATATATTATATTACACAGGCAACTTGTGAATTAGTAACAGTTACACTTCAAGAATTGCGAAATGCTGTTGATAACTTTGCTGACACATTTAAAGCATCACGTAAAACCACGTTCTCACCAAGCAACGAATTTTATTAGAACTTCAACAATTGATCAGAAGGGATATGGTTAAAATTGCAAAATCCTTTACCAAAGAACATGGGAAAACATTTTTGGATTCTAAAGGGATGCTTGTTAATGATTACAAATGGTTGAACATAGCTTGTAATATTACCAATTTATTAATGGGCGAATAATTTACCGTTTCGACTGATATGAATACCTATACTATCCGAGAACTATTAGGTATTACGGCTGGAATTTGTCCTTTCAATTTTCTTGCCATGATCCCTTTATGGATGTTCCCTTTATCTATTGCAACCGAAAATACTATGATAATTAATCCATCCGAAAAAGATTCAGATGCCACCATAATTCTTGCTGAATTAGTTAAAGAAGCGAGAGTTCCACCAGGTGTTCTTAATATTGTTCATGGACCTATTAAATATCGAAGATTTCTTATGCGATGATGATCATATAAAAACAATTTATTTTGTTGGAAGTGTTAAAGGTAATTCCCTTTTTTTTATTCAAGTATTTTATGTATTTCACGTCACGTTGATCATAATAACATGTCTCTGCTGGTGTATTGAAATGCCTCTTATCGATTCTACTAAATCTGGTCCTACACAAAAAGGATATATCATTTTTGCATCAGGTTACAAGGCTTACTATAAAAGAATGTTATGATAGAGCCCATGCAAAGTATAAAAACTACAAAGAAACCTGTTGACAAAAAATCCGGCAGAGATATTTCAATAGAAGGAGAAATTTATGCTTATAAAGTTGATATTATCCAGGATTTGCAGAGAACCACTTAAAAGAATGTCCAGAACCGTTAGTTGAAAATTCACTTGTGACGATTACAACAGTCTGACTTTTTAATTTGGATTGTATAGATCAAGCTGATTTCCCTATGAACAATAAAATATTTTCCCATCATCTGTTGACTCCGGCATTACTATACATGTCGTAGTCAGTATTTTCACTGGACAAAAAACGGGACAAATTGGGGTGTCCTCATCATAGAGCTTGATGTCCGTGACATTATATGTCCCCAACTGTATATGATTGGCATTCGAGGCGACCCATCTTTTAGTAATTATTATTTGTTATTATACTTTATTATTATTATTATTTTTAGTGATCTTTATTGTTCATTAATAATTATTATTTGTCATTATTATTTATTATTATTATTTCTATTTTTATTATTATTATTTATAATTTACATAATTTATATTTCTCTATAGGTAACACAGATCTATGTTACGTAAAAAAATTATATGTCCATGAGACATGAGACAATTGATTTTTCATTGATAGAAACTTATCTGATCGGACGGACATTGCCCAAGATTGTCATTATCCAAAGAAAATCTAAGGAACATTGTCCGTGTACTTTACTGGTTGTAAATAGGTAAGTGTATTAATTAATTAATAGTGATTATAATTATTATTTATAATTAATTATTGTGGAATTTTGGTCACGCATAAAGGATTTCAAGGGCGTACTTTGTTTTTAGGCACTTTCTGTAACAGTTGTCCTAATGCTGTCTTGGTTCGGAATTATTATTTGCCCCAGTATTTTTCTACCCCTTGAATTCGTTAAATTTATTGGTCCATAATCAAACAGGTAATCAACGGGTGATTGGAAGGATGTGACAAAGATCTGTTGACAAATATTGTATTCACAAGCAAAAAATCTCTGGATCTTTAATAGAAATCAATATTCGAAAGGTGTGACATTAAGTGATAAATGCGATATCCTGACAAACCCAAAGCCAAACCCCTGAAAGTTTCGAAAATATCATGTGGTAGAAAATTTCTGTTAATACTGGGAAGATGGAATTATTGGTGATATCACGTGCTGTGTAACAAAGAAAGTGAATATTGATGGTGACAATTTTCAAGGCTGGGAACAATCGCCGATGCAATAGCTGGTTCAACATCTATTCTTTCTGATTTGATTATAAAGTATGTGTAAAATTTTTTTTGAATAAATGATTAAATATAAATTAGATAATAATTTTTTTTTCTTTAGTTTGTCCATTTAAAACTACATATAATGGGGTTGTAGCTGCTCGTAATGCTGATTCATATGCTTTTGATTTCTCTTCTGCTTCCGCGTTATCGTCAATTAATTTTAGTTGTGAAGTTTATGAGCAAATACTATAACTGATAATGATCTTGAAGATTGAAGAGAATGCATAAAAGATCTAGACAAATATTTTGAAGTTAGTGATATATGTGAGACATTGGTAAGATAAAGGATCAATGAAGAATCTGTAAAGCTAGGAAAAATACTTTGTGTCATGTTAATGAAGTTATCACCGATTGTTATGAAGAAGTTCGTGATATATGCGATACATTGATACAGATAAAGGATCACCAAAGAATCCAATGAAGCCTGGAAAAATATTTTGTTTCATGTTAATGAATTCATCACCAATTATTACGAATTAGAAGATAGTAGATAATTTAAATTAAAATATAATAATTTTAATAAATGAACAATGAAAATGGTTTATTAAGAGATATTCATTTTCTCTACTAATCAAAGAATTATTGCACTGGAAGATTCAAATTAAAAAAATGAGAGAAGTATATTTTTATTATTTCATTTTATTGAATAGAAAATAATTTATCTTATTTAGGAATTATTTTTCTTACTTTCAATTGTATTTGATCATTTAAATAAATTAATTTATGTGTAAGTTATGCTTAAATGTTAATAGATTTTGTGGTTTCATTTAATCATTGTGGGTCATAACTTTTGATTACTAATTTTGATGAATATACCTATTTTTAAAAATAAAATTATTATTCGTATTTTCTTTGTTTTATGGTATAAATATTATTATTCAAATTACGGATGTTTGCCATATTGTACATTTTAATTTTTTGATTGTTATTTATTTAATTTAAAATAAATTAAGCAGTCGTATAATTTTAATGTGACTATTATTGATCCACAAGATCTAATACCCTGATTAGTACCCATGACTATATCATGTGATTTAGCTTGCTATAAATATTTGTCACTTGATAAAGAGATCAATCGTGACATCGCATATCATATTCATCTTTTTACTATTTTGAATAGCTGTAATAATTACATCAGTTTAGCATCATATATAATTGATCATAGAGAAAAATTTTGCATTTCAAAAAATACAAATTTGACCCAAAACTCTTTCTCACTCACTTTTCAAAACTCAGTTGAACTTTAATTCAAGTTTCGATACAAAATTTAAAAATATCAAAGTAACAATTTTTAATTGAAACATCAGTTTTATTATACAAACAATTATTACTAGTAGTTTTAATGTACAAAAAAATTAGTACTCTAGTTGGTGTTGTAATGGTCGTGACATTCATAGCTGCTTCAGCGGCCAAAAAATATTTGTATGCATTTTTATTTTCTTAAAAATAAAACATGGCTAAAGAATTTACTAACCATTTGTAATTATAGTCAACCCAAAGAACACCAAAATAACGAAAGTGAAAAAAAAGAAGAACATAACAAAGAAATTATTGTTAAAAAACGCCCAACTCTCTTATCACGTGAAGGTCGTACCCTTGCTTCTCTCTGTTAGTATCAAAAAGTTTTTGTTTATTGTTTATTACATTAGTTATACATATATATATTATATAAATATTTAATATTTTATTTTGATATTTAGGGAACTCTCAACGTCCACTTGGTGAATGCAATAAGCCTTTTAAAAGTTCTCCGCTAGTTCCTGATGAAGCAAAACAGGATATGAATATTGTAATCTCAAGTAGATTTATAAGACCTGCCAATACTTCCGTTCTTAAAATTTATGATCGTAAGATGAATGATCAAGACGATGATAATGAATACAATGATAATGATAAAGAAAGATACGATGATAAGTATGAAGAAAGATATACAAATGGCAGCTATGAAAATAGAGAGAGCAACTCTGTTTGCTATGAGAATTCTCAAAACAAAAAATCAGGAAAACTGTAGGTATAAGATTATATAAATATATATTTATGGTATTTTAAATTATAAACTAATGAATATTCTAATCGCTGATTAGTGTTAAGTATGAAATAACCGGTGAAGAAAAATCGAGAGCAGCAAATTATTTGGTGCACTCATATAATGATTTTGAACAATCACTATTTAATGAAGGATATGATATCGAAATCCCGCGACCTTATTTTTAAGAGTTTTTAAATTTCCTTTTTATATATCTTTTACATTGCATTACTTAATATTTCTCAATTAAACTTGATCCCTTTACGTACTTTATGCTGCATCACTTTTTTTTACATTACTTTTTACACACTAATTTTTTTCTCATTCTTATCCTAATATATAATAAAAATAATACAATACTATAATAGATTATAAAAAAATGAATTTATCACAAATATAATAATTATATTATTAATTGATGAAAATTGATTTATTATCAATACAAGGATTAAAAAATTTAACATTATTTTGCTTATAACGAAGACGCTATATGGATCAAACTCGATACTGTACCAATACCCAGATCAGATCATCTAATTTACTGTCGAATATATATCCTTTTCGCGCGTAAGTCTCTAGTTAAGAACTCATTTATCCGTTTTTATCATTCTATCTTTGATAGTAGTGAATTTAAAGGGGAAAAAAAAAATTTATAATTATATTATTGTAGAATATCCAAATTTGATTTTTGAATCAGGGATTTCACTTCAATTCAAGAAACAGCATTGATTCCTATTATTAAAAGAGACTTGCAAGTCGAAGAAATTAAAATTTGAGATTATGTTATTAATTAGGGAATTGTACAAAATCCTACTTTACATGCTAATTTCGACGAACGTTCTAAAGAAATATTCGAGGCCTTGACAATCATGATAAAATGTTGGCCATCTCTTATTCAATATTTTTATATTTCCGGTGAAGACATTTGTGAGAAAGAGAAAACTAATGAAAAATCCTTGAAAAATAACTTTGGGAAGGCATGAACCAACATCTTGTGTCCGCAAGAATCATTATAACTTGAAGTTCCATCTAAAGTAAATCAACCATTCTCAACTATAATCATGGATTGATCGAAAATCATCTATTAGGTCTTTAGCATACATTTCTTTAGAATTTCAATTAATTCTTCGAGACAGTAGAGATGCTTTTCATTCCAAGACATTTTGGAACATGTCATTTTGGACATGCTGGCTCAATTATGATCGTGAAAGTTGAGGAATTTATAAAATAATTGGATGTTATAATCCTTTAACTTAGTATAATTCAACAGGTAAGGTAGATATAAATAATAGTTTCATTTTTTCATTAAAAATGTGAGCATTCAAATTCAATTCTTAGCCGAGTCAAAAATAATAAGAACGCTCTATACTAATTTGGTTCTACAATGTAGTATATTTTTGGTCCATCCTTTGATAATGTGAATTTAGGATGACTTCAAAAGCTTCCAATTTTACTCAATATAAAGAATGTCGGTGTTTAATCGTTATGAATGAAAGATTTTCTCGAGCGTTTAAGATTAATATTATTAAAAAAACACTACAATCAGATAATATAATATTATTCAAATCTTTTATTTAAATATTAATTTCATATTTGTAATTCTAATGACAAATCTTTAATTATGTAAATTAAAATGCCTATTTATTCAAAATTAACGGATATCAGTTTAGGTAATGGGTAAGAAATTACGGAAATATTTCAATGTTCAGAAGGCTAGAAATCTTTAAATTTTGGAGAAAGTGGGACATAAAGGCAAAAAAAAGAAAAATAAAATTTTATTCGCTATTATCTCTATTATCTCTAGAACAGTCCAGCGTTCAAATTTGAATGTTAAAAATTTTTTACATAATGACTTCCGATTTTCCTAAGTTTAAATGAAAAAAAGCGATCATATCTTGATATTGGTGTCTCTAAACTGATTGATTTTTTTCTTTTTTTTACAACCACCATGTTAGACACTATTGTGAAAATACAAATCATTATGCACTATCGAAAGTCACTGGTATTACTGGTAGGAATTGTCATTTATCAAGGACTTTTTAAGTTACCTTCTTTTGATCAATACTGGAATGAGAATAGAAACTCCCTATTCACCATATTTCAAGACAAATGCCGTTGAAACGTTTTGAACAGATAAAAAGGTGTTTGCACATTTTTTCTCCTGTTGCGACAATTAAAAACTATTTTAATAAATTGGAACCATTACTTTCTCATATCCGAGATGTTTCAAAACAACTTTACATACCAAGCTTTAATGTCTTTATAGATGAAATGGTTATTTGATTTTCTGGAAGAAGTATCCATACCATTCGAATCAAGAATAAACCATACCTGAAGGTTTTAAAATTTTATTGCTTTGTGACTCTGGATACACTTTTACTTTTAAATACTTTTATTTATTAATTCTCAATTCTTTGATATATTGATACAGTCAAAATGAATATATTAATACTAACTTTCATTCATTTTTATCATTTTACAGGGTGACCTCTTGGATGAATTGATTTCTTATTATAAAGCCTATTGATCAATATGAATCGAAGATGTTGATAGAATTGATGTGTATGCATGCTCGCAATTGATAGATACTAATCATAATAAAATCTAAACTAAAGAAATCTATGTATTTATAGAATAAAATTTAAGTTAGATTTCTTTAGTTTAGATTTTTAGGTGAGTAAATTTTGATTTTTTTTCTTTTGTTTCTTTTTGTTTGCTATTTATTGATGAACACTAACACAGAATATTCTTTCATTTTGGAGATCGTTTTTCATTAGTTTAGATTTTTTAAAGTAAGAACCTATTTATTTCTTCTTTGTTCATTTGCTTACCACATCATAGAATATTAATTATCATTATTTCGTTTAATAGATAGTTTTTTTTTTGATAGATTTCTTGGTTCATCTGCGGTTGGTTACGTGGTTTGGGCTAGGTGGATTGGTTCGATTTTCTTTTTTATACTAACCTTTCTTCTTTTTTTTTTACTAACCTTTCTTCTTTTTTTATACTAACTCTTCTTTCTTTCTTTTTTTATCATATTTGGTTTGTGCATTAGAATACATTTTTTTAGGTAAGAAATCTTATAATTTCTTTTGTTTGTATGTATTTTGATCATCAAAAATATTAATATTAATCATTCATTCTTATTGTTAGCTTTTAGTTTCTTGACTCGCGCCTGGTCGGTGACAGGGTTGGGTCCGTGGATTTAGGCTTTTTTGGCTGGTGGTATGAGTTTCTTTAGTTTTAGGTAAGAACTCTTTATTTTGTTTTAATTTCTTGACTTTTGCATGCATATACATCAATTTGATCAAAATAAAGGAATTATTCAGAAAGTCTGGGATAGGAAGGTGCATCATTTCCTTTTTATAATAATTTATTCAAAGATAATTACTTATTACTTAATTTGTTTTCAATATGGCAGGAACATTTTCAAAAATAATAAAATTACAAAGTTAAAGAGATTAAAAAAGTCATAAAATTTATTTCGTAAGTAATATTTTCGTTTCTAATACTAAAGTAATTTGTTACAGATCTATTGAATTTAAATGAATTGCATTCCGAATCAATTGTAATTGCTTCAATATTCTTGCCTTATTCTAACATGACATGAAATACATAAAAGAATCATGATTTCGAAATAAAAAGATTTATGGTGGTGGTATATGATTTATATGATTATTGATCGTATTACAATACAATTAAGGTTGTTAATTTTTCAAATAATTAATCAAAAAATCAAAAAATTCAAATCAATTATTATTATTTAAACAAAAAAAAATGTCCAATGGCATCCAGAACTTACGGTTTCATTAATTTATATTAAATATCTTTAATATGTATTATCACCGCTTACCCAAGTTTGGTGTCTACTGTGGAAATCTGTAAAAATGGTGGCAATTATTATTCTAAGCAACTGAAGAGTTAAAGAAATATTTGAAGGACAAGAAATACTTCGAGATATGACAACATTTTCTCTTGTATATCATACATTTCTTTATATTATGATTATTTTATTTATTCTGTTTGATTATTTATATCTATCATATTCACGCATTCATATATTATTATTTTTAGGTCTTCATATTAAAATTGATTTCGAAACAGGAAAACAACATGCAAAACTTTGAATCCCGATGATCCAAGATCATCATCAGAAGTTGTTCTTTTTGAAAATGACGTGGATGAAGATGATGAAATATTTTCCAAAGTTAATACTATTCATCGACAAGAATTTTTACAGAATTATCAAAAGATTCATTACATAATACATTGAATCTTGATAATAGTAATAATGAGAATATGGATAGTTATAGCAATCGAAAGAAGTACAATAATTATAATTATTCTTTTAATTATTATTCAAAAGAAACCACAACCTCAACCACTGATATCACCACAACGACCTAATGAAAATATTTGTATTTCTCATTCGAATCATTTACTCTTTGATAATTATATTTCTCAATTAATCCAATCTTTATCGTCATCATTATCACAACAACGCAATCTTTAACAAAGATATTATCGGTATTAGATGGATTAGAAGGTTTGGTTCATGAACTTGATTGGGTATTAAATTATCTAAATGGGAAGAATTGAAATCTATAATTTCACTTTTAAATCATATTTCAAATGAAATAAAGAAGAAAGCTGCTTTGATTATTGGTGCATTGATGCAGGTAATGACTATTTATTATTTTATTTTATTTTATTTATTATTATTATATAATTCATATTTCTTATTGAAATAAGTTTATTATTTGTATTTTTTTATTTTTATTAATCATATTTATTTATAGAATAATCCATTGACCCAAAGTCATGCATTAAGAATGAATCGTTTAAATTCTTTCTTATCCGAAGAAGGAAATGATAAGCCATTATTATATTTATTTTTTTAATATATAAATCTTAATTTATTTTATTAGATCGATCGGAAAAAATATTCAATGTAGACAACATTTCATAAATTATGACAACAAGATTGCTGAAACACTACAATTATATGAAGCGGCTAAAGATCTTACGGGGAATAAGGATTTTACCATTCCAGCGAGCTTAGATATTGGTAGAAACTTGATGCTGGAAGAAGTTGGAAGATGGAGAAATAAGAGGGTAATTAAGTCCGTTGCTCTGTAATCTCCTTATATGCAGATGTTAGTTTAAAAATCATTTATGTAATTTTGAAACTTCTTCACTTCTCTTTAAAGTTTGTTCTAATAATAGTTAGTTCCATTGTAACATGTTCATTAATAGTAGGAAGATGAAAGATCGAGAAGATAGTAATTTTAATTGACGAAATAAAAATAACTTATAAACTCAACTAATTATTGAAAAAAAATAAAATAAGAAATCAAACAAACGAAATGGACTAAATGAAGTATATTTCAAGGAAAAGATAATTAAAATATTTCTCTCTCAACTATTTGAAAATATTCTTTAAACACTTCATTATTACTTGAATAATCAAAACAAGCATCCAATTTTATAAATAAGATATCATATGATAGCATTTTATTTATAAATTCAAATGAAGATCATAACAGGTTTTGGCCATCAGTTCCTGAGATGACACTATGAGTCGACGGTAAAATTATATTTTGTCAGTTTCGATAAATGTAAAATAAATTGTCTGTATCTTTAAAATTTACACCCAATCTATTAATAAAAGTTTTTTGGGCAAGACTAAGAAATTTATTAGCTGTTATCATCATCATTCCACTAGATGTCGTCATTAGTACAATTATGATTATTGTACTAAATAAATATATTTATATACATGTATAATTGTCTTTGATAACTGTCTAAATTTAATATCTTAATGCTCGGATATTAGATATTACAAATTTCGATAATTATTATTATTTTAATTGATATTATAAATTTACAAAATAGAAAAATAAAAAATAGAAAAATAAAATAAAAAAATAAAAAATGGAAAAATAAAATAGAAAAATAAAAAATAGAAAATAAAATAACAACAAAAACAACAATAATAATAGTAAAATAAAATAGAAAATCAAAAATAAAAAATAGAAAAATAAAATAGAAAAATAAAAAAGTAAATAAAAAGATAAAAAATAATTTAAATTCCAATACCTATATGCTATTTAATATATCTTCCATCATACTAAATAGACTTCAATGAAAATTTTCTTCTTTACTTGTAATTTAGATGTAATTATTTCTATAAATGTTTAATATTTTTTTAATTAATTAATTAATTTTTTTAACAAATGCCAATTGGGTCAAATATTCAACACTTACCATTTATCTTTCTGTGATTTGTTTATCTATTTTTTCTTTAATTATACCAACTTACATAAAAAATTATAAAGAAATTAAAATTAAATCGAAATGATTTTTAAAAATAGTTTATGCTGGTGACTATTTATTTATTAAAAATCCTCCAAAAAAAAAAGGAAAAAATCATTCCTTTCAAAAAGTATTTAGGTCGAAATAGAAAATTATTGGTCGAATATAGATACAATAATACCACATATTGTTTCGATGAGTTATGAATTAAGTTATAGTACTCGTGATAAGCTTTTTCTTTTTCGTAAGTTCATTACAAGATGTGTTAAATAAATAAATAAATTAAATTAATAAATAAATAAATAAATATACAGTATAAAATTAAAATAAAATTAAATAACTTAATAAATATTATTAATTTAGTTTATTTTCTTATAGCCAGTTTGTATTATTTATTACAAAACATTATTATTAATAGGTACGGCATAAACATGTAATCTTTAATTATTTTAATTATTTCATTTATTTACATTTATTGATCTACACCTATCATTCACATGTGAATTAAAAATATAAATAGACCTTCACTATGTTGATTCAACTTCATTACACTTCGCAAGATGAGATTGGCAAAGGAATTACTTGTTTATTTGCTTATAAGAGTGATCCCAAAGAAATTTTTGAAACATTACAAGAGGCTATCAAAATCGAACGTATAACTTGAATAATATTAATAGTGATCGTGATAGTAATGCTGATGATGTCTCAGAAGGAGGTGACGATACCTCAGAAGAGGTGACGATAAGCCAGATCCGGAAATAAAAGCTGACCTAATCTAACTCTTCATAATCATGAATTTCAATATTATCAAATGGATCGACCCACAGGATTAAGAGGAAAAGTAAATGATTATCAAATAAGCTTGAGATGATAAGAAATATTTATACAGGAAATCGAAAATTCCCATGTATATATTATATTTGGTTTAAAAAAATGACATTTTAAATATTCTAATATATATATATATAAATTAGCTTTCATATTGTATTGTAAGAGGAATGGATTCAACTTTGTGATGGTAATTTGGATGAAAAATATTTTGAAAAAATAATATGATATGTTCTATTGTCCGGAGCGTAAGCGATACCAAAATTTCGTTTTTGATGTTTTAAAGTTCTGATCTTGATGCATCATTAAATTCGCAAAATATAAAATATCAAAAATGTAAAATGTAACAATTGTCAGATAAGTAACACAAATGAAATAGAAATTAATATGCTCCAGACTAACAATGATTTACCTTTCCCAGTTTTATTGATTTATTTGTCGATTGATTTGTTTATTTATTATTTATTGTTATTTTTATTGTTATTTATCACTTTATTTTTTTTAAGAGTTTACTGTGCAGTTTGGAACAAATGTTTGGTTAAGAATAAATCATCGAATATATTATTCTAATGAAATATTCTAATACCAAGAATTAAGAAATGTCCCACAAAGGAAATAATTTTTTATAAATTCGAAATTATATATTAGACAACATATTTCAAATCCATGTAACACAACACAACTCTTATTGTTGAATAAACTTCTTCGAAGCCATATTATTAATATACAACATTTGAATAAAAATCATTTTAATGTAAAATAGAATAAAATCTTTATTGATGAATATATAAACTTAATTAATCGTTCAACAACAACAAAATAAACGAAATAAAATTTTTTTAAATTTAATTACAACTGACACTCTGCAAAATGAAATCAACTATAATAAAAAAATATATTTAGAATATTAAAAAAAAAAATAATATTTAATATTCTTGATAAAAAGAATATACTTACATGACATCTTATTCCTCTTACATCCACCTGGACCATCATCATTATCTTCGTCATCGTCATTATCATCATCTTTATTATTATTATATTTGTCATTCTCATCTTTACACCCACCACCTATTAATTATATAATTTTTATTTATTGATTATTTTTTCATTTCGTTTTTATCATTAGATTTTAAAAAAAAAATATATGTACCTTCGATTTCGTCATGTGTTCTCTTTTTGCCCCGTTTTTCTTTTTCAATTGAAACTGCAACCAGCATATTTAAGTTATTTCCATGATTTTTCCCGACTGCAGTTTCTATCTCTTGTTGATATCGGCTCGCAGCAGCTGTGGCCAATATATGAAGAGCAGAGTTCTGTTGTTGATGTTGTTGTTGTTGTCGCTGTTGTTGTTGTTGCTGTTGATCAGCACTTTTTTTCGGTCTCCCACGACTTCTTTTCGTGATATTTTGTTGTTGTTGTTGTTGATTATCATTATTCTTTCTAGGCCTTCCTCGGCCCCTACGTTGCTGCTGTTGTTGTTGTGGTAATTGCTGTTGTTGCGGTAATTGTTGTTGTTGTGGTAATAGTTGTTGTTGCGATAATTGTTGTTGTTGTGGTAATTGTTGTTGTTGTAGTAATTGTTGTGGTTGTGGTTGTTGCTGTTGGGATTGTTGTTGGCGTTGGCGTTGGGCTCTTGTAAAGACCATTTCGAAAAAATATTTTTGTTTGATAATTCAAAGATTTATTCTTATTTGAGTGAATAATTTAATTCGAAAATATATTTTTATTCAGGGAAGGTTTTAATTCGAAATTTTGTTTTTATTTGAGAGAATTAAAAGGATTTATTTTTATTTAAGGGAGGATCTATTCAAAGATTTATTTTTATTTGTGGGATTTTTTTAATTTGAATATTTGTTTTTATTTTTATTTGAGGAAATATTTTATTCAAATATTTATTTTATTTTATTCAAGGATTTATTTTACTTGAGGGAATATTCTAATTCAAAGATTTATTGATTTTTTTTTTTTTTTTGAAACAAATTTTTTCGTCTTATTTGTCTTATTTATAGATCTCAAATTCGAATTTTTAAATTATAGCATTTTATTGAAATATTACAAATATTATATCAGATTAAACCACTTTCAATAAAATAAATTATATCTATTTAATTATTAGTCCAAAAATCTTTTTTCAACAAAAATCTTTATTTATTCTATTACACAAGCAAATATGGAAATTTTTTAGATAGCATGAAATAATAATTGTTAGTTCCTCGTTTGGCGCCTCAGATTAAAATGGAAAATATAAACATGTACTTTTTTTGAGTCAAGTGTATTATTTTACATATATGGTATAGCATGAAATTATCTTATTATTTCGAAGTATTGATTAAAATATTGATGATAATTATCTTCTTTAGCTAATATACAATATGTTATTATGCACAAACAAATAATGTGATGCAGAATATTGAAAGAAAAAAAAAATAATAATGAAAAAATTTTTTTTCAGCCGCAAAATTTTTTATTCTTTTCTAATTAAAATAACAATAATTAATATAATAATATAAATGATAAAATAAATTTTAATAAATGATAATATAAATAAACCATTTTATAATAACATGTATATATACGATATAATCGATTACATTAGATAGTTTTCAAAATTTTAATTAAATTAATTAAATTAGATTATACGACGCATGTGTATACAGTGTACAATTCACCAGGAATATTATTCAAATAAAACTATTAATAAATTTATTCTTCAATAAATATCAAAAAATTTTTTATGCCAACTTTTAATAATTACCATTCCAGATCATATTTTTAATAAATTTTATTCATTCCTAAAGCAAGTTTTAATTTTAACTAGAACTATGAAATTAACGTTGTAGATATTATTCATTATAAAAGATATGTAATCTTGAAATTATTTCGGTGAGATTAATCAGATCAGAAAGAAGATTAAAAAAATTAAAATTAATATTTTTCAAATAAAAAAATGAATAATTATTTGTTAAATGTTTTTATTTAAAATTTATTTTATTATTTTAAATTGGATAAATTCGATAAAAAATTGTAAATTGTGTAAAGTAAATCGTCGTTAATAAAATTATTATTATTGTCATAATATTGATTTTGGACTTGAGGGATAACCTTCATTTTTTACTAAATCAGCTTGTTCCAATAACCATATCTTAAACTCATTTTAAGTGGGACACTGAAGAGGATAATGTTTCCTTATAATTGATTTTCCTCTAAATACATATTTTCTTTTCATATCAAAATCTAATTCTTGTGATAATTTTTTACTAATGATATCATCATTTTCTTTGTCATCATTATCAATATTAAAGTAAAGTCAATTAAATAATTCATATCAAGATCCTATTATATTTGAAAATGAAGAAAAAAAGAATTCACTTGCTAATCAAGCACATCGGCCTCCCCGCCTTAACCACCATATTTGGATCGATAAAATTAGAGTACAATTTTACTCGAATTCATTATCCTCCAATTTTTCATACAATTGCTGATAGAGTTAGTCCATCTGATCGTATTATTAATGATCTTCATCATCGCCTTGTTTCCACAAATGATAAGACATATAAAAGACGTGATGGAACTACGATATATTTCCTTCTTCGATGAGAGAGTGAATTTAAAAGGTGAGGAATGAGATTCATTCTTAATGAGCCAATGGATTATTTAATAAATAAACATGATTAATAAAAATATAAAATTAAAATAATATAATATCAATATGAATTATATAATAATAATAAATTGAAATAAAATAATAAATAATCCACATCGCTGCACCAATAATCAAAGCAGCTTTTTTCTTAATTTCATTCGAATCATGATTTAAAAGTGAAAATATAGATTTCAATCTTTCCCTTTTAGATAATTAAATACCGAAATCAAGTTCATGAACGAATTCTTCTAATCTATCTAATACTTTATTAACGATTGCCGTTGGAGGATAATGATGACGATAAAGATTCGATTAATTGAGAAGTATAATTATCAAAGAGTAAATGGTCTGAATGTGAAATACGAATGATTTCTTATGTCGTCGTGGTGATGGCAATGGTTGAAGTTGTGGACTGCTTTACTCGATCTTCGTTTAGATTTCATATTCAAATTCTTCAGTTTCACTATGGAAGTTTTTTCAAGAGAATTAGAAGTTAAAGTTTAAATTATTAAACAAAACGATTATCATGATAAAAAAGATTACTATTCCATATCTTAGTATGAGTTTTCGTCCAAATAGAATAAAATCTTGATCAACAGGAAAATAACCATTAGAAACCATTTCACCTTTAACACAATTTTTTAATTTTTTAAATCATTTAATTAAAATATAAAAATAAAATTTAATTATAATCATAAAATATATATAAGGCAATAAAGGCGAAAAAAAAGCCTATAATGATATATTATACTAATAAAATGAAAAAAAATGATAAATTAACAATCAAAATAAATCAATATACAAATAACTCAACAATCTAAATAATTCAATGATTCTTAATAAATCAATCCTTCAATACTTTTGTACTTCATATTATTATTTATTTTTAATATTTTTTTTTTTTGAAAAAAAAGAAGATAAGAAATAGAAAGTTACAAATATTGAAAAATGCCCGAACCTTCATCTAATTCCTCTTGGAACTGTAGTCTTGTTGTTCTTGAAATTGTGACCGTTGACATCGGATATTCTTGAGAAGCAGCAACCGATGAAATCAAATATAATGAATTATCATTTTGTTTAAGTTGCTAATAGTTTTTCTTATTGTTGTTGTTGTCATCAGTTTTCTCGTTGCTGCTGTCATTCTTGTTGTCATTTTTGTTCTTATTGTCATTGCTATTCTTGCTGTTGCT